GTTCGTCAAATAACGCGTATGGTGTGCAATACGCATATTAGTTACAAATGACTCGAGATTACTTTTTATGCACTAAATAGCTACGCAGTATATCAGCACCTCTGAAAGATTTAGAATGACAACTGTTTCGCAGAAAATTAACACCCCATTTACGAGCTGTCAAAGGCGCCAATGCAAATTCCCCGAATACTCATACAATGAATCTTTTACAAAAAATACTGCTTCACTTAGCAATGAAAACGCGAAAAAAGATGAAACGAAAAAACATTGACGATGCTACTCACCTGCAGATAGGTCATCTTCATTTGCGCGGCAAGTTTTTCTTTGTCTTCACGACACGGATAAAGATTTCCACCGTTGGCCATTAGCCACTCAAAATCACATCATTACGCCGCGACAAAGAGCGAACAGCTGTCAGTTCGGGCGAACGGACAGACAACTTACCTTGTCGAGCATGGCCGACTGCTGTCGGATTCGGGCTTTTTCGCTGGCCACAGCCGACGCTACGGTGATCTCTCCGATGGATAATTCTAGTCCAGGTGACTGTGACTGGAGCACATTATCCATGTTCTCGTTTTCGTGCGAGCTTAGTGGCGATACGGATATCTTGAAAGACACGAGAGAGTAATTCGATCTTTCTTCGTTGTTGAGCGGCAAAGTAAGTAAGCCGCTTGTTGAGTACACAATAGAAAGGCAACGAACGGAGAGGAACGGTTTGAATTACCTGGTTCATAATCTCAAAGTTTATCCCAAGCGGATCCCCTGGTACAGTCGGAGGGGTAGGAGAACAGGTCGATACCATGAATATAGAGAAATTTCAAGATTTTTAGTCTGAGGACTTGAAACCTGCAAGGAAAAAAGAATTTAGAAGCGAACAACTGTTCAAAACACATGCGAGCACGTTCCAACTTATATTTCTTACTGCATAACGCATATTATAGATTTGATCAGGGTAAACTATATAATCGAAAAATCGAGGAATGCTCAGAGCAGAATGACTGTGT